TACTGGGAGAGAGAGAAAAAAAAATTCACACTGGGCAGATAATATCAACTTAACATAGTTTGGACATACTTCTGGACCAGAAGGGGTTCACAGTGGCTTGCTCAGAGCGCAGGCAGAGCATCCTCCTCAGGTTAGGAATTTACTGGTCTCTATGGAGAAATAAGCACTGAACTCTGCTCACCTGGAAGGTATTTTCCTGTACTCTCTCATAGGGCTGCATTATTTCTGACTCTGCCCTTTTGGATCTTTGACCGTATGTTTGAACATCTGAAGATGAGGAATGGACAATCCATAACTTCTGGAGAGGACTATAGGTAAAATATTCAGTATTTCTTTCTCTCCTAACACATGACAACACACAAATGCTACTGCTTTGAGTCAATAGCTTGCCTGTCCTGGATTTTCACTGTGATCATCAATATTTATACTACACTTAAATGCCATGATTATTTCTCAACTGTAGTTTTAATCTAAATCTGCATCAGTCTTACTATAAATACCTAAAATTAAAATGAAAGATGTAAATCTTTGTGCATAATCTTAAAAAAATTGCAAATTCAAAAGGAATGATTTAAAAACAGAGTTGCATTTTGGACAGAGGAGCAATGAAGTTCCTGATTATGCATGCAGAGAACATCAAATCGTCCCACACAGCAGGAATATGCAAACTCTGTCATAAGTTAAGTGATGCACAGAAATCCTGTATCAATAAGCATTCAGCTTTACAGCGCTCCTGAATCGTTGTAAGATATGAAAGATTGAGATCCAAAGATTTTTAGATACTGATCACTTGAAGATTCCGAGGTGTTAATTCCTGTGTAGATTACGGAGAAACAGAAATATAATCCTTTAGATCTCAGCTAAGGCCACCAAATCAATTAAATAAATAGTAACAAATATCGCCTTCTCCCCCACACAATCTATGTCAACAAGGACAACTCACTTGGCCAGCAGCAAGTACAGTGTCTCTGACGGACACTATGCTGACTGGATCTTTTGTTTTCAAACACGGGACAAAACAAGTTCAGCATTTCTTCTCTCAAAATTTTCTGATGCATTCAAGCCCTCTCCTTCCCCAAGTCAGGAAGATATCTATCACAGGCCGCCTCTGGACTACAGAAATAAAGGACATCCTCAACACTATAGAGCTTAGAGTCGCTTATAAGCGCTGAGCCGCACACCCATCTGCAGCTGTAGCCTTCCTCTCTGAAGTCACCTCTCTCCATTTAACACTGCTCTAAAATGTTTATGCCATTTAGGTTTTTTTAACTCAAGTTCCTTCTCATTTTTTGAGAGCAGCTGATTAAACCTGAACAACTGGGTTGTTGGACGAAATATGCTGTAGCTATGAAATGGTACAGCAGGGACCAGTTTCACTGTTAATTTAAAATGCTAGAATTAATTAGGTAGTGTAAATGAAGAATTTAATAAGCACACTTTACAACCACAAGTTCTGCCTTTATTAAACACCCCTGCCAAATGAAAGCAACTATCTTCGTCTGGTTTTCCTTGTCTCATTCCCTTAAAATCTCTGCAGTGAAAAAAACCCTGTTTTTCTATTGCAACCCCTCCCCCATAATTAAAATGTATGCCTGACTTCCATCTCCTTTTTCAAGTCATTAGCATCTTTTAAAAATGCTACTGTATATCCTGCCTGTTCTGAGAAGCTACCAAACAAAACCGAAGTTTACCATTTTGGTTTTGAATACCAAATTAAAGGCTGTCTTAGAAGCTGTCATTCCTATTCAACTCAGTACGGTGTACTACCAAATTAGCATATTTTTTTAGTAAAGGAATATGCCTGTTTAAATATGTGTCTTTCCAAAGCGAGGGGTAACATCACGAATCAAGTTTCCTAAAAAACCCTACTACTCTTCTAAGCCTGCAGAAAGACTCAGAGCAGATTATTCCTGACACATATTGTTTAATCGATTTTAAAATAAATACAAAAGTTCAGATCAAAATCTCTCAAAGGGATCCTCTGTATATTTAGAAGATGTTGTTTAGCTTTGAACTCCTTGAAAAAACACAGTATTTTGGGAGCCTAGGCATCATTTCACAAAAATCTGTCCAATTCTTTAACAGGACAGGGGAAATCTAATCTTTTCCATGATGCAATTCAATCCTATCTAGGCTCAGAAATACATTTGAGATTTTCTAATATGGTTTTGCCAGGGTAACTATTTAATGGCATTTTTTGGTTTATGACCTTTTCTATTTTTCTTGAGGCAACCTTTTTCTTCTGGTTTTCCTTGATTTACCTGATAGCAAGGAAGAGCAAGGAAGAGACAAATTTACTATCTATGAAGACAACCCGTATTGTTTATGGTAAGAGCTCCAGTGCTTGTCTAGAGGCATACTACAACAGTGCATGCTTAGCTGAGATGTATTAAAACCACAAAGTTTTGAACAGAAACAGTGAAAATCCCCAAGCAGACGAAACCTGAATTGCTTCAGACTTCAACCAGTTCAACAGAATAGCTTAAAGATTTACTGTTTCTTCTGTAATCCAGCTTTCACTGTCAGAAAATCTACAGTGATTTCTAATAAGGAAAAAAAGGAGAACACCCTGAGAAGCCAGTCATTCCTCTAACAGGCTACTGGCATACTTCCACCCCTCCCCTCCCAATAAAACCCATAAAATCTCAGAAAGCCTAATGAAGAACACACTTACATGACGATCCGGAAAGATGAGCTGGGTATGACCTCAGTGCATTTCCATTTTGTTACTCTCAATGTTCTAAGAACCTTTAAAAACACGGATTGTGTCTGGCAGAGGACTGGATTCGATTTACTAACTCAGAATTCAATGTGAGGAATGAACACGAATCCTAAAATTTAGTAATGTTGCACAATGCCTTGATAACAGGCCTGAAAACCTTGGCAGATTAAATTCAGTTTTCAGAAATGGCACAGAGGCTTCGGAGGACGAATTTTCTTTGTGAATATGGTTCTTTTGTACCTGTATCACTTTTTAAAACATGTAGGCTCCTCAGTCACTCAGAGGTGATGTCCTCAAAGCATCCAATTATTTTAAAGAAATATTCCTTTGAAGTATTTTACTGCTCATGAAGATTTATGCACTTCGTACAGAAAGAAAAAGCACAGGCAAAGAGCTACCCCAAGAATATGTCAGAAAATCATATAGCAAACTTCTCACATCTTCACATACAGAAACAAGAGCCTGGAGATGGAATGAAACAAAAAGAATACTGTGTCTAGCTGCTGAAGTAATGGCTCTCTGTCCAAAGATGGCCAATTCTCTGAAAACAGCACAATATCTAAAGTCTTGAAATTATACTGCAAGGGAACCACCATGAATTTGAGGGATGTGAAAAGAAACTCATGAAACACAGGACCTGCCATGATCAAAACTCAAGCTAGGCACATTCGCCTCCTGCAGATGAGGGTTAGGTATCCACTGCTGTCTGAAATAACTGAAGTAAACTGCAATTTCATTTCTCAGATTATTTTCAGTCTAAAAGAAAAACAATGCTATGGAGCTAAACTGGTCTGGAGGCACATATCAAGGTCGCTATGTCACACTGGGATACTGGGACAGCTATACTTAGAAAAGTACTTCAGTTATTTGCATGGCAAATTTTGGAGTAGGAGCTTAAGCAATTTGTTTTTAAGTAGGAAAAAGAAAAGTAAAGAATAAGTAACAGTCAATTCCATTTTTTCAATCTTCCTTTTAATACCCCTGAAGCTGTGGCCAAATCAGAAGAGATACTGAAATAGATACATCATGGTCAATGTGCTGAAGAAAGCTCTGCCGGACTACAGTTCTGAGGACTTGAGCTGCCCTGCAGCTACTGCCATTTGTTATGTGCCTTGTGTTTACCAGAACATTGCTGTATGTCAGGAAGTAAATAAAAAAGAAGCATTGCATGTTTAAAAGCACTAAGCAGATCCTCCTAATGCTGCCAATAACAACAGCTGCCAGGCTGTTATAGAAGTAGGTATGAAGATTTGCATTTTAATTCCTCATCTTTACACGGTGCCTCTTTCCAGAGCGTACACCCAAGCTGCCAGGAGTGCATCTGAGAGGAGACGGCTCCTTTTCTGGAACCCTTTCCTCCCCAAGGCTGCTGCTTTCTGTGCTAAACATAACAGCACTGGTGATGCACTGAAGAGCAGTGAAATTTCAGCTGTTCCCCACCTACGGTGCGAGCAGACACACAACCTATAAAACTAACCTATAAAGCAAGCTATAAAAGCTGACTGTTCATCCCATCATCTTCTTGTGCATCAGCGAATCCCTGGCTGCGGCAGCAAGGATACAGAGCAGGCTACTTGCACCTACACCTGTCCACACCTCCTCTACTGGTAGTGCAGACATCTCTCCTCTTTGAGATACGATCTGTAATGGGAGGCCTTTCTTTTTCTAAAGGCACCTTACCAATGGGTGTTGCTCCACGTGGGAAAGTATCATGGCAAACTGAAATGTTTTCAGGGAACAGAGTTCATTAAAAAATATCTATGAATGTCTAAATGAAACCCAGAGCAGTGGTACCCAACTACAGACCCGTGCTGTGCAGAGCACCGTGGTAAACAAGCCATGCATGCAAGCATGCAGAACCATCCTGACTTAACAGTGTTAATAGGCAAAATTCTGATGAAGGTGTGGTGTGGTTCAAAGGAAGTTGTCAGAATTAGGAATGGTCGGTTGACTACTCTCCTACCACTGAAGTCAATGTTAAATAAAACCCAGAATGATCAGGAAGGTAATGTTATCATCTGAGCTCTGCTGCAAGAAGCTGCACAATGTGTTATATGCATGAAGACTTAATGTTCATACCTCCCCTCAGATCTGTATGGAGGCTGAAAGACAGGGGACTTCTCCAACAGCTGTTCTGTACCAATGAAAACTAAAGGCTTACCACGGTATCTACAGCATTCCCAGTGATAAGCACTTGCAGTGTAAGCACCAAGGTTCTGCTGACCCCAGATGTAAACTGACCCTGATGCACATGAAGATAACAACATGGAGCGCTTACCTGTAATTTTGTCTCTCACGAGCTTGCAGGATTCGATTTCACCGATGCTCCCAAAGAGACTCCTGAACTCCTCCTGGGTCATGTTCTGGGGTAAATAGTTGACTATGAGGTTGGTTTTGCTGTCATCTGTAGCAGCCCCTGTCTGCATGGGGGAAGGGCAGTTTCTACTGTTGCTGGAGGGTCCATTGGTTGTATTGGAAGTAGGGCCATTCGACACCTGAGGCTCCATGGTGCTAATTATCTACATCAACATAAAAGGAGAAAGGAAAAAAACCCTTAAGTTTCATAGATACAATAGCTATTTTTAAAGACACTTACAAACGAATGAGTAGGTAGCATTCATGGCCAATTTAGATACTTCAACAAAAAAACCCGGCTTGATTCCTCTGTTATTGTTGCAAAGTAGGTCATGCTAGTCTTTGGCTGTGAGCATATACTAAGATGCAGCTAAAAAACCCTTCTTTTTTTGTTAATGCGAAGCTGATTTCTGCTTTCATCACACAGCCATTTTCACAAATGTAAATTTAAACCACATAAATTTAATTATAATTTAAGGTAATAATCATAATTAAAATTATAGTTCCATTAAATCAGATGAAGTAAGTGTATGGCTCCATATGAAAAGGTAAAATATTTTACCTATTTAATAACTGTATCACAGAGTGCAATGACAACAACATTAACCAGGCACAGTCAATCTGCAATGTGTTGTCATTCAGATTGCCTTCAGTTAATAAACTCAGTGTCCCAAGACATACCATTTACCGGTTCCAGTGATGACCTATATTCTCCAGTTATATTTTTCACTAACGAACTGACACCTCTTTAAATAATAAAGCCCTGGATTTGCAATCTTCAGAGATACAAAGGTCTTCAGATATTTACTGGAATCAGAAAGGTTTAATCAGAGAAAGGCTTATCAGGCGCAGGTGCAGGCTGGAATTCTAACAAGCACGTCTATCTGGAAATGTGAAACTCCAATTTTCACTGAACAGACTCAAATAGACCTGTCCAAAAAATGACAAATAAGAACCCAGCTTAGCAAAGTGAGTGCAGGACAGTAGCCCCATTGTCACCAGTGCCACCAGTCACGTGAGTAAAGCTGCCTGCATGTTTATCTGCAGAATACAAGTTTAAACCCGAAAACTGCGCAGGCAGGCAAAGGAAGCAGAAAAACGTGAGTACTTCAAGCCTTTTCCATATAGGTATTTGCCTCCACTATGGCTTCTAGCCTGCCTTCTGTCACCAGCGCTGACGAAGACAGGACATCATCTTAGCCTCAGACATCATCTTAGTCTCAAATCTGGGTAAATTCAAGCAATGCAAATGGTGGCTTTTGCTCTCTACAGTGGAGTCTGCGATGCACAGCTTCGCTGGTGTCTCCTATCAAAGAGCATCCCTCGGATGGGCTCAGCCTCTCTCCATCAAAGACTCAGAGAGTCAATAATGCAAACTGCTGCCCCAGGCAAGAGACTGCACTGCCCAGGGACAGGGACAAACACAGGGAGAACTAAGGGCTAAGACACCACACACACTGAACCTTGTGTTCATCCGATCCTGTAATTATTATAATTACCCAAGACTTAATTTGCTTTCTTTTTTAAATCCAGGGAGGTACATGTTGTGACAAATTAGGCCTGTAATTCAGAAGGATGGGGGGACACACACACCAAAAAAGGGGTGTCTATTCTAAAATTAACTACATGAGGGTGGCTCACACGAAATAGGTCATATTCTGGTCAATTCTATTTTTATTTACTTATTTTTCTTAACTGAAATGCTTCAGTGTTAGTTTTAATGCCTTGTTTAGGAAACAACCCTCTTTTTCATCAATGGACATAAGTTTTGAATTACCTTTATTTTTATTACCAAACCCAGGAATAGCAAACTGGCTTTAAATGAAAAGAAACCTTGCCACATTGCGCTTAACAGAAAGGCCTTAAGCGACACAGCAGAATCATTGTGAAAATAAATGCTGCAGGAATAGCAACTTCTTGAAAGAAATCGGCACATCCAAACCAGAATCCCCCTGCCAATTTTACCAGCCACGTGGCACCGAGCACTGCTGACATCTCTGTCATGCTGAACCAGCCCCGTACACCCTTCCTTCCAGACTTCCCGTTTTACCCAGTATCAGCCATCCCTCCTCTTCTCAATCTGATTCCATACATGTATTTATTCACACATACTACTAAATGGCTCAGATGCTGCTAAATCTGGTTAGCTCGGGATTCCAGCTGGAAGAGCACCCTTTGATCTCGGCACCTCTATGACCCCACTGCAGTCACTGACACCAACTCTGAGCTTTGCCAACAGCCTGCTGCAGAGTTGGGGTTTTGCACCCCAAGGCTAACGTGCTTCAGCAGAGCAGTGTGTTTGTGTATGCTGAATCGGCATCCACTTGATTAAAACTGGGGGGAAAATTCCAGTTCTGACAATAAGACATAGTCAGAAGATGACTGAAGCGGCTGATATGGTTAATTGCAGCTTCCCATGTACATTTAAAACCATCTGACCATATCCTTTCCAACATAAAACCCCCACAAGGTAAACCATCATTTTAGGGGCTGATCTTGCCCTCCTAAAGGTGACAGGAATATCAACCACACCAGTGGTTTCAGTTACAGCAGAAGCAGGACTTCAGCACAGCGCACTGAGGAAGGTACATCGCCTGTTATTAGCCACAGACACAAAAGCTATCTATAGTTCCCCACAATAAACAATAATGCTGGATCTTTTAAAATCTGTGAAAGAAAACAAAATTTGGAACTGGCTGGTGTCCTACATACGCAGTTTGCAAATGCTTTTTAGTTACATTTTCAGCATGCTTACCTTCCACACCAAGCAAACAAACAGAATTCAACTCAGATAATTTAGCACATTCAGAACATTAAGCTGCTCAGTAAAAATCTGTTCTTGAACAAGTAGATTTCCTCATATAATACTTCATCAAAATATCTTGGCACAAACTAATGTTGCACCAGGTGCTGGGTTTTCTCCTTGTTACTCTCACTCAACTCCAATTAGGTTTTCCTGATTTTTTTCAATAGGAGAAAGGAAAATCAAGGCACCTATTTGCCCTTCAAATTAGTGCAAAGTTGTAGGTTACTGAAAATTGATTTGATACATATATAAAGAAGAGATAATGGATAGAAGGAAATGCTGAAGAATTATTAAATGTTTCTTATAGGCACAAAGGAATAATACTTGTTTTAGATGTACATACTGATCCACATCATTAGTAAACACTTGAATTATTGATGGTAACAAAAAGGTAAGCCCTAGCTCTCCTTTCCAAACATTCTGCCATCTCCCCTACACATCTGAAGCTCAAATCCACTCTTAGGAGTTCAGTGTGCATGCACTGGGACGTTTATTGTCTATGACTGTTTTTAATATTAAGCAGTTGTTGATCCCACGTCAGGCAGCAGATTACATAAGAGCAACATTATTTATTCAAAGACTAAATTTCAACATGCCATTCGCTGTCTTTTTTCTACCCACAACACTAGGATTTTTCTTCTAATTCAATACCTGTCTTGCAATATGAACGTTTTTGAAACAGATACTCTAGTTAGCTGGGCATGCAGTTAACTTTCATTATGCTTTTATTACTGGTAATGACATTTTTTAACACATTAAGGTATAGGGCTGTAATTCAATTCTACAAAAATATCTAAGGAGGCTGTAAGTTCATCTAACTCATCAAGGGCTTACGTGGATATGGGCAAAACAAATGTGGAAAACCCAACAGTGACTTAACCCCAAAGTAAATCTTTTAAAAACAAAATCTACTCTTATCCTTTGAAAAATCAATATTACACCTCTATAAATGCCACTTAAAATTAGCAACATCTCTCTGCTTTTGTAGATCTTCTCTGACCCAATTTAGACAGCTACTACTGGTCTCGAAATATAACAGTGCAAACGTCATGTGTGATGACATTCACATGCTACTGGTATAAAGAGGGATTTTGTTTTGGGTTTGGGGTTTTGTTTTTCACTTTTTGGCAACAACTTGCCAGACTCTCAATACTGCATCACCATGTTCTATACAGAGGAGAGCAGTATCTTTGAGGAAGAATAAGCTGCAGTTACTGTTGATAGACATTGATAATTTAGCCACCGATAATTTGAATATTCTATCTTTAGAACATTTTAAAAAATACTGTCTGTGACAGAATTTAAAGACTGTGATTTTGTAAGTTAAAGGCAACCCAGATTTCAAAATCTGGATGTATTTCATCAGACTGCTGCTTTTAAAAATGACTTCTTGGTGTACTACTTTTCTCACTATGGTTATGTATCAGCAAAGTATGAGGTATTTTAGTTTGACAGATTTCACAAAGACATGCTTTGTTGCTCGGGAAGACAGCGTAAGCTTTGCCAGTTTCTGCAAAACACTGCTTACCAAAAGGCTTGGTATAACCCCTCCTACAAAATATCAGTGACAAATATCCATTATAGCAACTCCTACATTACAAATAATGTTTCAGAAATACTTCTGTCATCTCTTAATTTTTTTTTTTTTT